TGTCTCAAAATTAAAAAGAAAAAGAGCTGCAACATGTATGGTTGCACAAATGGTATGACTCTACTTTGTGTACAACCAAAGAAGTAAAAAATTATGCCCCATTTGTGTACAATTAATCAAAAAGCTTTCTGCTGTCATCTATAATGGATTAAAATGAATAAAAATAAATTAAAAAAAAGAGTTGGAGATGTGGCTCAGTGATTAAGTGCCCCTGGGTTCAATTCCCAGTACGAAAACAAAAACATCCCTCGGGATACAGTTCAAATTCCTAAACATGACCTGCAGCCCTTTATAGTCTCACCCCTTAACACCAAGCCAAGGTCTTTCCTGGTTCTTGCCTTTGTGTTCTTTCCTTTATCTTGAAATCCTTCCATCCCTCCTACTGACTTACTATGTGCCAGTCACTTTTGGGGGGAAGAGTTTCTATTAGTGAATAAACTGTCAAAAATCTCTGTTTTCTTGAAAGCTATATTTTATTGTCTATTATTTGGTTTTCTCCTCTTGAAATTTCCAAACTCAATTTTCACCTGCTGCATGTATGAAGTCCTCACTTCCTTCTGTCATCTCCTGACTGTGGAAGGAGGGCTTCTTGACGGGTACTGTTTCCCTATGTAGCAACCCTCCACTTAGGTCTGAGGGCTCCTTAAAGGGAAATAATTGTATTCGCCTCTTCAGTACCTGTGAAGATCTAGCAGGGTCTGATGCATTTAAGAAGCTCATGACATAGTTTTACATGAATGAACTAATAAATATTAATTCTTCAAATCAAGGTGACAAGATAAGATAATAGGACTTTACTGTGGTCCCATTTTTCCCCTGGCCACAGCTAAGCCCAAGAGAAAATTATGAGTAAGAGTAAATTCACTTAATTCAAATATCCCACTTTATTAATGAGTTCTCAGTTCAATAGCAATGCTAAGCCTCCATGTCCCCACATAGACACCCTCTTCTCATAGCACCTAAGAAATACGCATGCTTTCTTGAATCCCTGCTTCAAAAGAAAAACACTGATCAACCCTAGTTGACTACTTAGGCTTAAAATCCTTTCAAGTCTAGAATGCAGATAGAAATTGTCTCTTGGCAACCTTTCCAGGGGTCATCTTTCTGGTTGTCTGGAGTCCCCACAAAACTCTTGTTTTCATACAAGAAAAAGTCTGATTTAATAAAAATGAAACACAAGAAAAATAAATTGTTTATATTTATTTTGATGAATGCTTCCAAGACTCATATTAATTTCATAAAAAGGCAAATCTCTCTTCCCCCGACCCCTGAACCCTTACCTAAAATAATTATACTGTATTCTTTAGAGTATCTCTATAAGCAAGATAGAGGAGGTACAGAAGTTCTGGAAGCTCTTGTGAGTTCTAGTGGGAAGGAAAGGGAAACTGAAGTGCTATCTCATCTCTTCAATAAATGGGTTGGCCCTGAGGTCAATCTCCCTCATACTCATGTGGCCAGCTAAACTCCATACGAAGCTGAGAAAAAAATTATTACCATTTAAGATTAGATGAAAACAGATTTTAAACCATGGCCTTAAACTTTCCAGGGAATGCCAGGTCATGCAGAGATTAGTGTGCATGTAGTATTGTTCAGAGTAATGCCCAACAGAAGCATGCAAGGAGTTCAAATTGGCCTCACACAAGAGAATGCAGAGTAAATCAGGCTCTGAGATGAGGCGAAGAAGGAGGCAGTCTAGGAAGTCTCTTTGGTAAATTGGGCATGGCTGATGTTGGGACCATTGCCCACGATTCTAGGGCCATGTCAGGTTTGGATGGTATAGGCACCTACATCTGGCTTGAATATATGTACCTCTTGAATTTATAAAAACTTCTTGCATCTACCTTTTAGAATTCAGAACTCAATAATTAAAACTCTTTCGTGGCCATATCAGAGAAAATCCTAGAAAGGTAGAAGCTTTTCCTCTTGTGTATAGTAAATAAGTGAAGGATGGGAAATAATTTGAAAAAGTCAGCTCATGGACAGAGAATCTCATGGAAAAGATGGTATGGTTCCTAGTATTCTATTCACTTCCTGGAATTCATAAGAAAAATTTGAATCTCTTGGCAGAGTATTCTGGGTCCCAAGGCAAAATAATTTGCTTCCTATGTTTATCTAATGTAGTAGCATACAGATTCCCAAGGGAAGGGGTTCCTTTCTGGTTTATCCATCTGGAACAGTACCTGGCATACAGCAGACACCACTAAAAACCCTCCTGTTATCATGTAACTATGCAAAGATATTGCAAGGAACCTAGAATCTAGAAGTTTCTAACTCTATTGTATCTAATTTCATGTGTGTGCACGTACATGTGTGTATATAATTTCATGTGTGTGCATGTACATGTGTGTATATATAGATAAGCAAATATGTGTATATATGTCTATATATACATGCACTGTGCACACACACACTATACGTATCTACAAATTTACCAACTTATTCGTAATTCAGAAATAAAATTTATACTACAATACCATCTTTGAACATCGAGGACTTTTATCAATGCTACATATGGTTGGTGTACAGCCAAAAAATGATGAAGCCTTAGACCCTACACATTCATAACATTCTCCATTTTAAATAGTGTTTAAAACAAAACTTAAAGCAAAACTTTCCTACCATGTTGTTGACCCTAAATTAGCAAAATAATTTAACAGCCTAACAAGAGAACCTATTTTGTTAACATGGGAACATTAATTGGAAATTTGGATTGTGAGCTAATTCTGTTTGAGGGTTTAAGAGAGTAAAAGAAATTACTGGACAAAACTGAACTCAGAGACTTACCTCCTGAGCAACACATTATAGGGGATATCCTCATTGATGTTTGACAGCAGATGTGGATAGAAAAGTCCTATCATATACCATCAGTTCACATCTAAAGTCATCAGGTATGGATATGGCATACTGCTAGTGTAGACTGTAGCAGCTCTTCATAAGGTTTGACATCTTGTCTTTCAATCTCTGACTAGAGTACTGGGGTCCAGCCCAGTGCCTAACACAAAGTAGATGCTGATACATAAGTGTTAAGTCCTTTAAAGACATAGTTCATTGCCCTTGGAGATGGAGAAAAGACTTCACTAGCAATTGGAAAATTCAGAAAGAATTAAGAAAATTTAAAATCACTCCTTTTGGTGCCTGTCCCAAGAAACTCTAAAGTTGTTCTTTGGACTCTCCCAATTTTTCTGTTATGAATATTTTTCAATAGCAATATACTGGGAATCCGCGGACTCTTTTGAAAGACCCTATATAAATTCTATAGCCACCAGACTCCTTTGCAGTGCTTCTGCTGAATTTCCAAATAAGGGAGAGATTTTTAGAATAACAACATTTTATTAAGAAGGAGGAGATTTGGGTTTACAAATGAAGAAGTGGAGGTCCCGCTAAGTGAGCTACTAGACAGGCATTCCACAGCCATAGGACTATACAGTAGCCTAACTCAGCTCCCCTAGTCCCAATACTGAGATCCTGCAATTTTTAATCTGTCTCTTTTGTTTTTCCCTAGTTCCTGCACCATCTCCATTTTTTATCATGTCTGGGTCCTTTCTCAGAAAGTGCAGAGGAGCAGCCAGTCTACCTTCTGGAGGTAAGGATGGATAAAGATGGGTGGAGCATGGCAAAGTTGTCTAGTCTGGGGCCAGACTACAAGACCTGATCAGATTGCATAGCTGCAGTTAGAGAGGATTTTCCACATCTGATCACCCTGAGAAAGACAGAACACAGCAACTAGCTATTTGTCCTCATTGAAGTTCCTTGAAGTCTATCAGTGTTGGGAAAAGACTCACTCCAACTACAGAGAAATCCACAAGTATAAAAGTTTGAAAAGCAGTGTACCTTAGAATTAGAAGACCATACTTTCCCCAGCACAGACACATGCTCTTATTTCTTCTGTGTTGCTACTGATAGGATGCAAAGTGTCCCTCAAAGGCCTAAAGAAGGTGGTAAAACCTTAAAGAAGTGGAGCCTCATGATGGGAAGTTGGGTTTCTGGGGTGTACTCTCAGAGGAAATTGTGGAACTACATCCTGTCTTCATACTGTCTTTGTTTTCTGGCTGCCATAGGCCCAAAGTAATAGGGCCAACTGACCATGGACTGAAACTTCTGAAACCATGAGCCAAAACAAACCCTTTATCTTTTTAAGTTAATCATCTCAAGCATTTTTTATAGTAATGGAAAACTAACTAATATACATTCCAACCCCACAAAAGAGTAAATGCTCCCCAATCCTGCTTAACAGGCTACCTTTGAAGATGTAAGGTATTTCAGTTAACTGGGACATGGGCAGATATGAGCAGTACTGGCTGGAGAAGAATTATCAAAATCACCCACCCCTACACACATAAACATCAATTTTTTGATCAATTTTTGAAGCATTGTTAATATTTTATATACATTTTTAAAAAACAGTAGAAAATTATTATTATTTTCTTTAATATTCAGAAAGTACTCTAGGGATTCTTATAGCTTTAAGGCTTATATCCCAATCCTCTACTCTCATTTTAAAACAGTGTGCAAAATCTTTTTTCAGCAAATTAATATGAAGTACAGCAACAAGAAATGTGTGTGGGGTGTGTATGTGTGTGTGTTTGTGTGTGTGTGTGTTTGTGGGAGAGATGAGACTCTGGAAGTTTCTCTTGAAGCAGTCCCTGATTACGGTTTGTTGACTGCTCTATTCCTCCAATTTCTACACCCTGCCTCTTTCTAGACCGCTTTGGAAAGAGAAAAGGCATAGCCAATGATTTAAATTTCTGCTTTCTTGGGTTGGAATAAATGAGTATGTGTTCTGATATTTTAAATTCCATAGAAACCTTGACTGTTGAATCCTGTTGGTTGCTTTTTGAGTTGGGGTGGTGTAAATGTAAATACTTCCATTTTATAGATGAGGAAACTTTGACCCACAGATGAAATACTTTGGTGAAGTGTTCCCAGAAAAACTCAGAGGCACCAGTAAAAGTAGAACCAAGGTCTCGGGCCTCTATTCCATCAGCAAAAGAGATACTCACGTCATGATGTGGGTCTCTACTCCTGCCTCCACCAGAGCCCCATCCACGAAGAGAGGAAGCAAAGTGAAGCTATACTTGTCCCAGGAGTGGCCCTCGTCAAAACTCACCCTGGGGTGGAAACAAATGCAGGGAAGAGTCAGCTGGAAATAAAGCCATGCTCTTTGCCAACCATTTTTCAAGTTATTAAATTTTCTTCTCTATCTCGCTGTCTGGCAGTTTGGATTATCAATAGGTATTAATCTTCAACATCTCCCCATATTATTAGGAGATTTGATCAAAACTGCATTTCCCATCCCAGGGAGAGACAGCACCAGAGCTGCAGAAATATTTCAACACATTAGAATTGAAAAAGCAACCCAAGCAGGAGGGCTTGGTGGAGGAATGTCACGTTTCAAGTGCTCAGAATGAAACCTGAGGTTCAATTCACAGCACAATCAATTCGCCCTCAGAGTTTCTGACACAGATAAATTGAGTAGTGCGGGGTGCACCCTATGAGAAGGGGGGTGTGTGTCTTTCAGATCAAACTTTTTAAAAAAGCAATTTCCTACTTGTTCAGAATGGATGTTGGGATGATTTCCCCTCCCCAATGTCACTCTAGGGGCCTTTTAGGAACAGCTACTGAGTATCTGAGGTGTTCTGAGCAAGACTGCTCCATCTTGCACCTAGTGGCAGGAGGGAAGGTCTGATCCCTGGTGGACGTGGAACTGCCCCTCTTTAAAGGATGAACCAGTGCAGGAAACCAGAGCAATGCTGATGCTTGCTTCCTTCCCTTTCTTGAGGGCACCCAGTACCTCTCTGCCCCTTGATTTAACAAGGGGACACAGCCCAAAGACTGCCTCCTCTGAGAAGCTTTTCCAGGCACCTCTTCTTTGCCAGTGAAGCTTTGCTTTCTTCAACTTCTGTGATCCTTCTTGTCCTGTCTGATTCTTAATCCTTCTCCAACTCCACACTTCAGGGTTTGGAATCCCTCCTCAATGTTCCTATCACAAATAGGGCTTCTCCTGTTGCAGTCCTGAGCAGTGACTTCCTACCTCATCTTGACCCTCTCAGTTCAGGATTAAAGACCTCAGGAGTATGCATGTTTTATTCATTAAATGGCCCTGTAACATCACATGTGGATCTTTATTACAAGCCTTTATATATATATATATAT